ATTAAATTGATAGCAGTGATCTTTTTCTAACATTATAAATAATGAAAGTGCTCCATTGTTAAAATATGACACTAATATATTTCAAATAATGTACAATAAGGTGAAGAAAATATCTATAATTTTAATTGTTAAGCCTTTAGTAACTTTTTTTAAAATAAGGTTTCTTTTTTTTTTAATAAATTTATTTTATTTATTTTTGGCTGCACTGGGTCTTCATTGCTGCGTGGGCTTTCTCCAGTTGCAATAAGCAGGGGCTACTCTTCGCTGCGGCCCGCGGGCTTCTCATTGCGGTGGCTTCTCCTGCTGTGTAGCACGGGCTCTAGGTGTGTGGGCTTCAGTAGTTGTAGTTCGCGGGCTCTAGAGCGCAAGCTCAGTAGCTGTGGTGCATGGGCTTAGTTGCTCTGCGGCATGTGGGATCTTCCCAGACCAGGGCTCGCACCGGCGTCCCCTGTATTGGCAGGTGGATTCTTAACCACTGCACCACCAGGGAAGCCCTTTAGTAACATTTTAAAATTTCAATTTATGCGATGGTATATTAATAAGACATGTAAATAAAATTATTTTAAATGATAGTAAAGTCAGATAGAGGTTGCAAAGCTGAACAGAGTTGTTAAATTATTGTTAAATTAATTTTTATACAAATATTTATATGCTCAGACCAGTCCAGAACTGAATATAAAAAGAATATATCATTTTGTTTCAGTTTATTTCATTTGAATCATTTAAAAGTCATAATAACTGAAAATCATGCTCAGTTATAAATTGAAGATATCAGTAGTATAAGTAGCTAAATTCAGCAACTGAAGAAAACATCTAGAAGACAATACTGCATGTAATAAATAGCCAACAAAGAACTTGCTTATTTACATCTGAATTTTCCTGGTTATGTGTCTACTATAACAAGATGACATTAATTTTGTATATTTAGGATAAGTTTAAGAATTTACAGTTGACTTATTGGAAGTAACTCTTAAAATAATTCACTAAGCTCTACCTAGTTCTCAAATTATTCTATTATGCTATCTCTGCTCTCAATAATTTTGAATTTATATGTAAGGCAGGAAAAATTAAGGTGAATGTTATACATGCTTTTCCCTTGTATATAGGTCTGAGCAGAAATTCAACGTCCATACTGCTAGTGTGGATTTAAAACAAGACGTTGACTAGGTAAAAAGGCTCTCTCAGGTAGGCTCTGTGAAACTACAGGTATGACACATGTTATGAGTATTTTAGTCTAAGAATCAGGTTGAAAAACATTTCCCTCTTATCATTTTTATATAAGACTCTAAATAATTTTATGTAAATCCAGACAACTCTACAACCTTTTTTAAAGCTAACTTTGATATTTTTCAAAATATCAAACTCTAAAATTTCAAATATATTAATCCTGGATGGGTAATATTTTCATGTTCAAAAGTTCTGTGTAATGGTAAACTGTAAAAATGAAAGCTATGAGCTTCTTTCAGCAAAATATAATATTATGATAAATCCAATTTGCTTTTATAAAACAATTCCTTGGGAAATGGTCAACTTTTTGTTTGTTATTTGGGGAGTTTGGATAAAATGAGAAGATTTCAGAACAGAGCACATATTAATGGATTGTCTTGAGTTTTCTTGAAAGAGAATCATACATTTTGCAACTAGAAATAATTTTACCTCTTCTTTTCCAATGTTTATGCCCGTTTGCTTTCTTTTAGTTGCATTGCCTAATTCTTCCAATATCATGTTTAATATTAGTGGCCATATGGGGTATTTTTAGCTTGTTTCTTATTTTACTGACAACCAAAATTAGTGATTTGTAATTCATTATACTCTGTGTTGTGATTTTTGTGTTCGTGGCACTTGTTTCTGTGTCCTAAATTACTTAGTCATCCCCACCACAGTGTTGAAGATAGAGAATCAGAGTGTTAGGAAGGTTGAATAAATCCCCCAGAATCATTGAAAATCAATAGGATACCTGCCATAGAATTACTTATTTTTTCTGCTGTGATTTTTTGTTTCTTTATCCTACCTTGGGTTCCTTCTATGACCTCAAAGCTTTCTTGCAATTGCCAAATATAAATTCAGGGACTTCAAATAATAATTTCTGCTAAAATTTGAATTGGTTTTAAACTGACATCAATGAGACTTACATATCCTTATGGCATTCATATGCTTTTCTCTCCTATGCCAACTTGTCACTATTTCTCAGGTGATTTGAATGCAAATCAATGACACCTTTTTATTGGCATCTTCTTTGACACTTATGCCGACAACTTAGACTTCAGGTGACAGCATTAATACTGACGGCAGCAACATAAAGTCAACGGATGTCTTTGCAATAAAATGTGGATTTCAAATTTATTTTAAATAAAGGTGGTAAGAGAATTTTTGATTTGGGTTCCTCAAGAGATTAAAATAGACAGTGGATAAATAATAACACAAATCCCAAAATGAAATTTTAAAAAATGGATAAGAGAATTCAAAAGAAACATTGTATAAGGTTATTCTAAATCAAACATGACCCAATAGGAAATAAAGAATAATAAAAGGAAGACAAAGTAGATGAGAGGAAAAAAGATTTAAAAAGCGTCAGAATAAAGGCAAACCAGTTTGGAAACTATACTGTTATCTTTCCTTTTTCATTTGTTAATTTTAACATCTAAAGGCAAATCTCAGTCTATTTCATGTGACAATAATGGCAATTTTGTCTTTCTCACCAAACATTAACTGTACCTCTTCACTCTCCCTCTTCCTAAGTCAGACAAAGTATTTCCACGTTGTACTACAGGAGAGGGGCTGTGTAAAAAATGGGATTTGAGAAAGCCTAATAGTTTTATAAAAAAATCAAAATCTAAACTTTACAATATTTTTATTCCTTAGGTGAGTCAAATGGCACTGTTTCTATCAGAAGCATAATTGAAATCATCACCTATAGGAATGTATCTAAAAAAATACAGAGCATACACACACAGAAAAATACAAAGGTCTGTACTCCATGCCACAAGATTGTACAGAGCTGAAAGAGGTCCAGGGAGTGCAAAGAAATCATTATTCAGGGAATGGATGGGGCTCAGATATGTGGATGCCTCGTTAATTGAGCAGATGTTGTTTGGACACTGTGGTAAGCAGCACAAGGTACCCCCTCAACAACCAAAGATGTCTACATCCTAATCTTCAGAACCTGTGAACATGGCAAAGAGACCTGGCAGATAGGATTAAGTTAAGGATTTTGATTTGGGAGATCATCCTGGATTAATGTAACCACCAGGATCCTTGTAAGAGGTAGAGGGAGATTGAAGAGCTACTCTGGTTTTGAAGATGGAGAAAGAGCCAGGACTGCAGGAATGGACACAGCCTGTGGAAGCTGGAAAAGGCAAGAAAACAGATTCTCCCCTGGAGGCTTTAGAAGGAACACAGCACTGCTGATTTTTAGCCTAGTCAGATCCATTTCAAACTTCTGACTTCCAGAACTATAAAATAATAAGTCTGTGGGGTTTTTTGTTTGGTTTTTTGGGGGCTTTTTTTGTGGTACGTGGGCCTCTCACTGTTGTGGCCTTTCCCCTTGCGCAGCACAGGCTCCGGACGCGCAGGCTCAGTGGCCATGACTCACGGGCCCAGCCGCTCTGCGGCATGTGGGATCTTCCCGGACCGGGGCACGAGTCCGTGTCCCCTGCATCGGCAGGCGGACTCTCAATCACTGCGCCACCCGGGAAGCCCAGTCTGTGTTGTTTTAAGCCATTAAACTTGAGGTAATTTTCTTCTATAGCAACAGGAAACTAATACAGGGACTATAATGAAATAAGCACGGAGGACACAAAGATGAATCAGACCCCATCAATAGATTAAGGAGATCAGTGTGCAGTGGTGGTGATGTGGATTAAACAGTGACAACACACTGTTTGAAAAGCATGCACAACTGTAACAGTGTGATAGAAATAGACTCTGACCCAGTAAAGGAAGCATCTAATTCTAGCTGGGAGAGATGAAGTGGGTTTCCTTACAAAAGACAATGCTCAAGATAAGTCTCAAAAGATGGGTAGGGTCCTGCCTGGCAGACAAAAGAGGGAAATTCATTCCAGGCTGAGAGACCAAATGCCTGCAAAAATCAAAGCACTCAGACTGGAAAATCCATATTCGAGTGAATAAGAATTTGTTTAGCAAGTCTCAATATTCTAGAAATAAAGGAGCCAAAAGTTTTTATAACTGTTAGAGGTAGTTTAGGGAGAAAATGTTATCTTTATTTAAATAGAAGTTTTATGGAACATTCAAGTTCTCATCACGATATGGCAGGAATGCTTACTTCACATATGTGAATTCATCTAAGCATGTTTGGCATTTTATACCCTGACTATAAGATCTCCAAACTAAAAATACAGATAAATTAAGAGGACTCAAGAGGAAAATGAGAATAAACAGATTGATACTGGAATGCCAACAGAAATTAGCAATTGAATTTGTCCTTATCATTTAGCTCTCTGTTAAGTCTGCAAGTTTCTTGATGGCAAGGACTGTGGTTTTTTTTTTTTTTTAAGAGGGTATTAAATTGTTTATTTATTACACATGATAATGGATGATACACAAGCTTCATTCCCATCTATATCTGGTACCATAATCCAATTTAGATATATTGCATAGGATGTGCCAACAATCATATATTAATAATCAAAAAACTCCATGACTTGGCTTGGGTGACCCTTTTCACGGTGAACTCCAGGTCACAACACAGTAACTGTCAGTTCAACTACACCAAGGTTTCAGAAGACAGTAGCTTCTCCACCAAAGCAGGTTGTAAATAAATTTTGAATGGAACCTGGCATCACCCTGAAGGAATGCTACCTTCACACTCTTGGGGTAGTTTACCAAAATGGCTTCAGAGTAGACTAACTTTACACAGCACATTTTAAAAAAAGACACATTTATTCAGCGTCATGATCAGACTATTACATTTAGCAATCAACAGCACGGGTGCAGAAAAAAAAAATCTATATTAAAACCCTTTGTTGGAATGCTTTACACTTTCCACAGAACAGAAACAAATAACCTGTTATACAATTAGTCACAAATACAGTCCTCGAGTTTTTTTTGCCCATACACATGAGTATTGTCTAAAACATGTCTTCTTTGTAGCAGCTAGGCCCTGCCACCACTGTGCTTGGCTGAGTTCACAAATCTGTTGTAACCTGTAGCTTCCCTGTCACTTCTCTGGCTCCCCTCTCCTGCTAAGCTTTGTTTCCTGGCAGTAATCAAAACCTTCTGCCACTGCCATAGCTGCTGCTGCTGCTGGAACCACAGCAGCCACCTCGGTTTTGGGGTTTGGCAAAGTATTGGCCTCCACCACCATAGGGGCCAGAACTTCTGCCTCCAAAGTTTCCTCCTTTCATGGGTCCAAAATTTGAAGATTGATTGTTGTAACTGCCAGAATCATTGTAGCTTCCACCACCTCCAAAATTGCTTCCATCATTACCAAATCCATTATAGCCATCCCCACTGCCACCATATCCACTGCTACCACGGCTGCCACCAAAGCCACCTCGACCACTAAAGTTTCCTCCACGACCGAAGCTGCCATTCCCACCAAAACCACCTCCATGACCACCACCAAAGTTTCCAGAACCACTTCGACCTCTTTGGCTGGATGAGGCACTAGCCATCTCTTGCTTAGATAGGGCTTTCCTTACTTCACAGTTGTGGCTATTCACAGTGTGGTATTTCTGAATGACAATCTTGTCTACAGAGTCATGGTCATCAAAGGTTACGAAAGCAAAGCCTCTCTTTTTGCCACTGCCTCGATCAGTCATGATTTCAATCACTTCAATTTTCCCCCCACACTGTTCAAAATAATCTCTTAGATGATGTTCTTCAGTGTCTTCTTTAACCGTAGGTTCACCACCACACAATCTGCCGGTAATTCCAGCTTTTTTAGGTGATTTCATCATTTGAAAGGACTGTGTTTTACATTTATCTCAGTATTCCTCCAGTCATATAATGCAATGCTTATACACTGGATGCACAGTAAACACTTTAAGAATCAAACCTTTAACGTGTGCAGTAGACCGTCATATAGTAATCATGATCAGAGGTGATTTTCTCTGGCACATAAAAACAGGCTAATGGTCTGAATGGAATCTCTCAAACTCTTAAACTTGACACGACTATATATTACAATCCTTTTTCTTAATTTCACTAATTGAAATTGAGTGTACAATGAAGTTGTGAAACAGACAAAACATGGGAATTATAAGGGAGATACTATATATTCAGCAATTTATTTTATATCCAGTTTCTTTGTAAATTTTTCTTTTATAATTTACCATGTTAAGTAAGCACTGGGCTAGCACCACCACCACCTCTTCTAAGACTGTGAATTATGTTTCCCAGAATCTCCTTCCCTGTAGTGTTTTGGCTTAGAGTTTATCAATGAGAGGAACTCCCAGGAGATTTGCAAAGTGAAAATAAAGAAGAAGGACAGGAAATCCATAGTAGCTTTTCCCACCCACTTTGCCACAGAAGACTGAAACAATTGGTAACATCATATCAGAGAATCTCAAGAATTACAGCAGCTTCCTGGTGAGATGAGAGAAACATCTAGTTTGGCATTTACAGCTGAGATCTTTGGTATCAACTTTACTAATTTCAGGAGCAGCTTCTCTGACCACTACTTCCCCAGCATTTCCACAAGTCATTAACCCCCATTATATATGTTAAACTCCTACATACATAGTACATACATAGTATGGCTTCTGTTTCCTGATTGAACATTGTCTATTAGAGTATTTATGTATACTTTATCTAATATTTCCAGCAGCCCTATAGGGTAGGTGCTTTTTAAATGAGCTAAGTGAAGTTACTGGACTCCTCCACTATTCCAAAGATTTTTTTCTCAACCAGTGAGTTGCAAACTGTCGAATTCAAATAAGTCTGACTTCACTCTTTGCTCTTAACCCCTGTACCATGTAGTCACATGTGGCACTGAGCTTTAAAAAGAAGGTGTGAAACTTTCTCTGTGAGAAAGATTCCAAAGAGCACTTAGAAACAAGCCTAACTACCCAAATAAAAGTATTTTATATTCAAGAATCAACCTTTTTTGAGGATAGTCTTCTCTAATACTCACTCATATCCAGACTGTCTGAGAATGGTCTTGTTTTACCAACATATGGCTTAAATATCCTTAGCTTCCTAATAAGAACAGACACAGACACACACACTCACACACACACTTCCTTGTAAAGAAAAATGAAGCAATCAAAAAAGAAATACACACTCCCACCTCCACATCTGTATCCATATCCTCTTTCTGCACTTTAGTAGGGACATCTATCCAAAGCCAAGTCTTCCACTTGCCCATTAGTGCTCATCCTGTCTCACTTACTTAAGATAATTTGCAAGTATTTTTTCCAATTCTGTGGGTTGTCATTTTACTTTCTTGATGGAATGCTTTGAAGCATAAAAACTTTAAATTTTGATTGAATCCAACTTGTTTTTTCTTCCGTTACTCATGCTTTTTGGTATCACTTGTATGAATCTTTTGCCAAATTCAGATCATGAATATTTACTCCTATGCTTTCTTCCAAGAGGTTTATAGTTTTTGCTCTTACATTTAGGTCTTTGATCCCTTCTTATTTAAATTTTGTTTGTAGTCTTAGATAAGGGTTCATTCTTTTGCCTGTGGCTGTCCAATTGTCCTAGCAAAATTTGAGATTTTGCTATATGTGTACTAATTTGGAATTTTTATATCTTCCTATTGAAATAAAGTACTATTTGTATACAGTTTCCCTCTCTATCCTTAATGATGCTTTTTGTTATCACAGACTATATGGTTTGATGCAAATGGTGACTCACACTTTATTAAAGATTTTATATTTATCTGGCAAATCTTTTTTCATCCTTTTAATTTCAACCTTTCTGTATCCTTATATTTTAGTCATGTCCTTTTTTTTTTTTACGGTACGCAGGCCTCTCACTGTTGTGGTCTCTCCCGTTGCGGAGCACAGGCTCTGGACGTGCAGGCTCAGCGGCCATGGCTCACGGGCCCAGCCGCTCCGCGGCATGTGGGATTTTGCCGGACCAGGGCACGAACCTGTGTCCCCTGCATCGGCAGGCGGACTCTCAACTACTGCGCCACCAGTCATGTCCTTTTTAAATGTCATGTTGCTGGGTTTTCTTTTTATCCAATCTGAAAATCTTTCAACTAGCCAATTTAGTCCATTTACATTTATTGTGATTATTAGTATATTTGGACTCGATTATATAGCCTTCCTTGCTATTTTCTATATGTTCTATTTTTTTCCATTATTCTTTCTTTTTCCTTCCCTTTTCAAGAATCAATTCATGTTTTTGTTTCTTTTGTTTTGTTTTCCCATTGGTTTTCTCATATAATGGAGATGGAATCAGTGTGTCTCATTTACTGAAATATCTGCAGAACCTGGAAAAGTGCCTGCCACTTGTTAGTTTCAAATAAATAGTTATTGACAGTTTGATGCCTAGAAAGCACTTTGGTTCCATTTCTATTTAATGAGGAAAGAGGTTGATGCTCTCTTTAGTGGAAGTTTTCAAGGATTGATGTGCAAGACCTCACACTAAAAAAGGAAAGAAAGAGTAATAAACATGCATTCCCTTAGGTTTAATGAATCAGTTTATCTGTATTTTATAGCAGCCTTTAAAAATACAGCACTATAAAAGAATCATATATTTTAATCCTTCATCCAGCCCTTTTTACATGTGAGGAAACTGAAAAAAAGCGAGGTTATGCATGCCCCTTAAAAGCAAATGCTGGGAATGCTCCTAATTCATGCCTGGGAAATTAAGTATTACCTTTTCTTTTGGTTAACTAAGTTGTTCCTTTTTTATTTAAAAATAAAATTAAAATAAAATAAGCCAGGGGTGCTGATCTGTGACAACTGTAGGTGATCTGTCCTGTGGGATCACTGGCAAACATCACCTTCCAAAAATTCTAGTGCTAATGATTTCTGTGACTTGACTCCAAACACTCACTGTGGTAAAGGTTTAGTGTTTGTAAAAAAGAAGGGCAAAAAGGAAATAAAACACCATCCATGTAATTTTCCATTTGTGTACTCTTGACTTCATTAAAATTGCATACTGATCCAATCCCTTGGTTTTGCTAATAGCTCCACAGAGGAATAGTCATTACTAGAGCATGAACACCACAATCCATTTTCTCTGATTATTGTTTTGTGATATTGCTAACTTGACAGCTCCTGCTGAACATGGGCTCATTATTTTGTGTCATTGTTTTGGGAAAAGGAATATCAAATGAGCATCAAATTAACTTACAAAGAGGCATGCAGCTGATGATAGACTAGCAGAAGGAGTAGTTTTTCTCCAGGAGTGGTAGAGAATAGCCAAATTAAAATGGTAAGGAATGAACTCCTTGACTCCTAGAAGATACCTTCTCTTTCAAGACTCAAATCCTCAGCAAGTTTTTTATGTGAATCCATAATGACATAACCCCCATCCCAAAAAAGGTGGACATGCCCACTTTCTTTTCTATGCTCTAGGGTCTGTCTTTATCTATCTATCTATCTAGGTGCCTATGTAAGTGTCATCTATCTGTCATCTACCTATCTATCTTCTATCTACCTATATTTAACTATCTACCTAGATATATTTCTAGAATCTCATATATAACACTTATTTTATATACAGGTACATCTATTCTAGACTCTGTTTTTGTCATCTAATTGTTTTTAGGGAAAAACAAACAAACAAAAAAGCCTTGCAAAATCAGGCCCCTGCCTGCCTCTCTAACCTTAATTTGCTGCTTTACCCTTTGCACTCTACTCTGAAGCCATACTTATTTAGGCTTCTCAAATGTATCATATTCTGTACTGCACCAGAGTTGTACAGTTCTCCCCACTCTTCATGGGAGCTATTCTAGTCAAACAGCTATTTTTGACTTCCCTCCATTTTTTTCTCCTTACTCCCCATCTCACCCCTCATGAATTCCTATTTATCATAGAAATCTGCTTAAGAAAATTTATCAAAAAAGCTTTTGTCATATCTCACCCCATTTACACAAGATTAAGTCTCCTACAGTATTCTCCTTCATATCATTTATCACATTGTAATTCCATGCTCAATGTCTGGTACCCATGGATTTGGATTTTAGGGGGATATGTTTGTTTCCTTCAGCCCTATCTCCCCAGTAACTCTTTAGTGCCTGACACATAGTGGTTCCCATTAAATATTTGTTGAATCAGTGAATAACTATGGCATGTTTTTTCTCAGCTGGGTACCTCTATTTTGTTTGGTTCCTCTGCTTTGAATGACCTTTTCCAACATTTTGTTTACTTGTTCTTTATGATCCAGCTTTGGCTTCTATAAGACTTCTATAAGGATCTATAAGACCCTTTAGCATATGAAGGGCTCCTAGAAGCGTTAATAGTTTTGAAGCCCAGTGTTTACCAAACTTGTTTGAACGCCACATTTTTGGTAACTATTTAGTGACATTTGGGACTCAAGAGCCTAGACAGTGAATTAACCAGAGAATGCCTAGCCTGATGGTTTCAGGAATTTTAAATGGTTGGAATATAAAGTTTTGTCCTTGAATTACCTTGTACTATCTCATCTGTGCTGTGCATGAGCCTGTCTTACTGTTCATGGCAACTCCATAGAATTCTACAGTTAGCAACTGACTTCATGCTAGCCTTGCTTCTTCTGCATTTCACTTTCTTGTCTTCCTTGCTAGAATCTGGTGACTGCTGGGGAGCTGGCCACTGCTACATTCTGATTGAACAAGAAAGGTGGGCAGATCTCCCTCTCTGCTCGAGGCCACCCTTGTGCCATTAAAGAGGGGGGCTTTGCTCTGTCTGCAAGCAGTCCCAGGAGCTGGCTTAGCTGCGTGGGAACCAGCCAGTCTTCCTTCTCTCTTCTAGGAGAACAGCTGCAGGTGCCCAAGCACTGGGCTGTTGACAGGCACAT